AAATATATTGATCTTATATTATTAATTATTATACATAGTATTGCATGCTAATATAATATAATACAATATAATATAATAATTAATAATAGTAATTTGTAAGTATAGTACAATATATTATATTTTAATATAAAGTAAAATAATATTTATATTATAATAATATACTAAATAATATACTAAACCAATTGGATAAGTTAATTTAGAAGTAATTAATAGATAAAATTATATTTTAATAAGGTGTCACATCATCAATTATCCCACATGAATTGTCAAATTAAATGCTAAAATTATCCTATTATCCCACTTTATCCTACTTTACCCCATTTAAAATATCTCAAAGGGATAAAATTGTTCCGGTGGAACACTTTTGCTCCTTAGGCCCAATTTATCCCAACCAATAACCCCCTATCTTACGCACCCGACCACCGATGCCTCTCTAATCGCTCATCATATTGGGAGGTATGTATACCGGTCCTACGCATGACAAACCCAAACCGCGTGAAAGCGGCCGGCGTTCATAATTTCTCAAAAAAGGGTCCCATTGGCGGAATAAAATCAGAAATGAAGATAAATAGACTCCTTAAACAGCCCCTTAAACGACACCTTGATCATGAGATGAATAGAATAAAGTGAGCCCGTAATTAATTGGGGGTGCATTTATAATAATAATAATAATCTGGACCAATGTCTGTCTTTCTTATCCTCATCAGCCATCACTCCTTGGCTTGTCTCCTCCACTCTCTCTCAATCATTGGGATATTTAGAAGTGCAAAATTATAAGAGTGGTGTTAGGGGCACACCTTCAACCAAACCCTTCACCACACCTCCTCTCCCTCTATAGTGCATTGGACCCCACATTAAATTTTAAAAAAAAATTGATGTGGGGCCCAATGCACTATAGAGAGAGAGAGAGGAGGTGTGGTTAAGATTGTGGTTGGGGTGTGCCCCTAACATTTCTAAAATTATAAAGACTCAAAATTGGTTACTGAAATTGGACTAACCTCTATCACTCTACGCAATGCAAAAGTCTAAGATAAAAGATGAACCATAATTGCATCGTTGATATAATTTTTCTCGCTAACTCATCGAATTTTATGCATTTTTTCCAAAAATTAGATAAAGTGAATCGATTTAAAATGCATATAAAACACACTTTAGTTTCGTTCATTTTAAGTCATTTTTAAACTGTTGAAAAGATAATATACTGAAGCCGCTTTTCTATTTTCAAATCTTTTTAATTTTTATTGTGAAATGCAAGCTTGCAACTCATATTTGTTATCTTACACAATTGCAACAAATTTACTTGAAATCAAAATTATTTAACATTCAAAGCACTGTACTTTTGAAATTTATCTTCAGTTAAAGAGAGAATTAGATATGAATATTTATCATTTTTCTTCTAAAAATTCTTCTATCAGGAGAAAAATTCTCACAATTCCCCCCCTACGGGGTCTGTTTGGTTGCCCAAAGACAAAGGAAACCTAATATAGGAAATATATTTTCTATAATAGCTTATTTTTCTATATTTGGTTCAAATCTTGAAACTAGTCCCTTCTTGATATAAAGAGAATTTGGTGGAATTCCTAAAGTTATAAAAATTGACATGTCTCATCATATTATAGAGATAAAAAAAGTTAAACATGTTTCATATCATAAGTATGAAGATGTATCTTTATCCTATTAGAAGATGACCTGTGGACACCTAATTTTATATTCACCTAAGAAGGCCACTCAAATTAAAACTATATGTAATTAGAAAATTCTAATAATCAAATATTCTATAATCCTTATCAGATTATAACTATCCATAATTTAAAAAAAAATCTCATAATTATTCATGTAAGTATATAAGCTATATAAAAAAACTCATGTAGAGAGATGTAAAGAGCCTCTTTACATAGAATAATGGAATAATTTAGAAAAACCTCTCAACTATTTTAACTTTTGAAACCCTTCCTCAAGTTTGAGCATATTGTAGATTGAAATAACCCCTTGAACTTTCTGACTTGACTCCCATCAAATATGAGGTGTCTCAAAAAGCCTCTCAAGTTTGAGCCTATTGTAGATAGACATCCTTAAGTTTAAAATTTAAGAAATTTTCATGAACTTTTCTCACTTTATTCCCTGAAACTTAACACTGTTAGGTCTAGCAGGTCTCACGACAAATAGGTGACTGAGAAAAGACCAAAATACCGCTAAAATCATAAAAGAAAAATACTTTGATTTTTTTTGTAGGAAAAGAGAAAAAGAGGAGAAAAAGGGTAAAAAAATATTATAAATTAAAAATAGTTCTTTTTTATCGGTTAGGAGCTTTTTTAATAACAGAATAAGTTGATTTTTAAAAGGGTATTTTAGTTAGTTTATATTTTAAAATAATGTCAGAGGGGTTTATTGATAAAAGTGTAAAAGATTAAGGGGGTTTTGTGAGACACCCCATAATTAAACAAGTTTTCTCTGATTTTTAAAGTTGAGTGGGGTTATCTATAATATGCCCGAAATTTAGTGTGATTTTCCCAAAATAAAATAATTGAGATGCTTTTCCAATACATCCACCATAGTTGATAGGGCTCTTCTAAAATTAAACATAGAGTCATATATGCAAAATTAAACTTATATCAAGTTATATTTAAAGTTGATGAATTAGTCTTCCTCTTAAAATATTATTGATCAATTTGTTAAATTTTTTTATCATTTATTAAATTGATATCATATCTTTACTGATTTTTATAAAGAGGGATTTTTAGTTTACCCGTGTCTCTTTTTAAAATATTAATAAAATACAAGATACCATAAAAGTATGTAACATGTAAAGATTTGTAAAATTAAAAACTTTTCTATTACAAAAATATTCTCTACAAATCAAAAAATAAATTATTTATATTGATTACCCAAAATGTTAACTCGAATTCTTCATGCTCATCTGATATTTTCTAATCTTTATATTAAAATTCTAATAGGTTCTTAAGATTATTCTAGGAATAAATATTTGGATTCTTGGGTATTTTATGGATATTTTAAAATCACATATACCTTTTTACTTAAGTTGAAATTCTAATGCAAGCATTACAAGATTGAGGTTTAAATGTGAGATAGTTTTAAATTAAATCAATAGTGAATACCTAGATCTCATCTAATTGCAATGTTTTGTTTTGTTTTTTCATGTTACACAGTTCAACTCAATATACTCCTTAGATCGTAGTAAATCTTAAACATTTTATCATAAAATGTCCACATAAGATGACATTGTCAGCTAGCAATATCTTCACAGTTCCTACATCGAAGAGATTTTTTTTCGGTGTTGTGATTACTTTAAACACCGACTTTTTTATATCTTTTTTAAAATATTCTAAAAATGGGAGATTTTACAAAGAAGAGTTTGATGGTTAAACTATCCAATTTTAAATTTAAATTTTAAAATAAAAAATATCCATGTGTCATTCGACAAGTTTACTTTTTTTTCTCTTTTTATCTTAGAATATTATATTATAAATAAAAATATTGTAATAGAGAGGCCAGTAGTTAAACTATCTAACTTTGAATTAAAGTCATTAACCCCCTTATTTTGAATTTCTTTTAAGTTTCAAACTATTTGAAGAAAAAACTCCAATTTAGTATTTGTTATACCTTGAAAATTACCAAGCCTAATAAAGCCTCAACAAGCGGCCATGTGTAGTAACTTGTCGACCAACTCACATACATTTGAGAGTATGACCCGTGTGCGGAGTCAGCTAACCTATTTCACAACATAAATTCGAGATGAAAGGCATATTCGACCTAGGATCTGCTAGAAGCCCAGATTCTAGACGAAAGGCATTCCTCACTCGAACCTGAACTAAGCATCTTGAATAGTGGAATGACTTGTCAACTTCATCAAAAGTCATATTGCATTTAATGCATGACCAGTCAATTCCCACACGTCGCCGCCCAGTTGCCATCAACATTAATGCAATGTCACTCATTATGACTTTTTGATCCATAGCCTTCAGAGCTTCTTGAAATGATCTAGTATTTCAACAGCCTTATCACTACTGCAAGGACAACTCGTCCAACCAGTTGGAGACACGTGTAAAACACGGTCTGACCCATCACTGCACAAACCTGGTCAAATTATTAGCATGTCTCCCGTAAATCCTCTATAAATAATGATGACTTTTACCATACTAAAATACACACACTAGTAAAAAATCACGTATTCTAGACGGAATATTCTAGACGGAAATTTTTTCGTCTAGAATGTATTAAACTAGACGGAAATTTTCCGTCTAGAATATTCCGTCTAGAATAAAACATTCTAGACGAAAAATTCTGTCTAGAATAGTATCCTAGACAGTTCTTTTATTTTTTTTATTTTTTTTTAAAATAACCAGGTATTCTAGACGGAAATTTTCGTCTAGGACACATCCTAGACGAAAATTTCCGTCTGGAATAACTGACCATTTAAAAAAAATTAAACCCGTCAAAAACCCCCCAGCCGCCCTCCTTTCCCCCCGAAAATGAAAATTTTCATCCCAAAATTCTCCACTGCCTCCCCCTCCTCTTCCCCTCTCACCCTCCCCCAAAATTCTCCATCGTCATCGACGTCGGCAGCACCGGGACCTGAATCCACGTGTTCGGGTACAAGGCCCAACCCGGATCTGTGATCCCCTTTGAGATTGATCTCGATTCGACGGCGGAGATGAAGGTGAGGCCTGGGCTCTCGGTTTTTGCGGGGGATACGGGGAGAGCCGGGGAGTCGTTGAGGGAGTTGGTGGAGTTTGGGAGGGAGAGAGTTGGGAGGGGGAATTTGGGGGAGACTAAGATTAGGCTGATGGCGACGCCGTGACGGTGGGGTTGAGGATGGTTGGTGATGGGGTTAAAGAGATGATTTTGGAGAGTTGTAGGGGGGGTTTGAGGGGCTCGGGGTTTCGGTTCCAGGATGATTGGGCTAGCGTCATATCAGGTAATGTGGTTTGCAAAACTCTGATTTTGTTAAATGCCTTGAGGTTTTGTTTATCTAGTAGATTGATTGCTGTGGAAAGAAGAGAATTTGTTCAAATTTTGAGTCTTGACGCACTTGTTTCAACACTTACCAGGGTAAACTTATTCTTAACATCCCTTCATATACGAAAGAAGGTTTAGTAGTGAAATATTACCGAAATAAAGAATTATATCCCCAAATTTATATTTGTTCACATATAATCATGTACATAACCATTTTCTAGTTTATAGACTTTGAAGCAGTCTGACACCTTGTGTGCTTGTAAGAGTGTGACCTGTCTCTGGGTAGATAAATTATAGAAGAGTGGCGACTGATCAATAGCGAGATATGGTATAAGACATACAACTTATATATATTCACTATTGTAGATGTTGCTTCATGTTTTGTCAGACTTGGATGTAATTTTGTATGTGTATTTGCAAGGGGTGTCTACCTATCATTTCACGATATGATAGTCTCCGCAAGTAGCGAAATTTGTCCCCTGCTTCATGATTTGGTCATGTACGATGGCGAGTTTTTTGACCTCCCTTTTAGCTACAAAACCACCATTTAACCAGAGTTTGTGCTCTCATAAGAGAACCAGTCGTATGGTTCATAGTTGAAGTAACTTATAAGTCTTGTTTATTGGACTTGTTGCCTTAGATAAAATTCATCATATTGACTAGGATGATCATCAATCTGCTTTATTTTCATGTGTTAGCATACTTGAATAGGCTTTAGGTTTTTTACTCGCTGTTGTTTGAGGTTATAGACTTTGATCCTTGATTATATTGTTGGAGAGTTTACATATATTTGTACTTAATTGCTGACTATCGTCATGCTAAGAACTTGTTCCGGTTGCATTTAATATACTTATATACCAAGTACCATTATTTATCACTAGAGATTCAATTCAGTTCTTAATAGAGTTTTTTCAAAATAATATTGCTATAGGCTCTGATGAAGGCATCTTCGCATGGGTGGCTGCAAATTATGCCCTTGCTCTAGTAGGTGATCCTTTGGAAACTACTGGGATAATGGAACTTGGTGGAGCTTCTGCTCAGGTTTATATATCTCTTGTGGTTCATGTTGATCTTGCATGTATTTTTTCCTTTTTTTTTCTTTTATCTATCTGCTGCTCATATGTTTGCCTGTCCGGTTATCACTGATGATCTGCTAACTTCTTGTTGAATTCATTGTTTTAAAAGTCTCTAATGGTTAATCATTTTGATTGTTGTAAGTTCATTAATGCTGAAATATCATCTTAGATTTTACTTTGTGAGCAATATGTATTAGGTAAAAAGTTGGCACAGAAATTCACATTATTGCAAATTTAGAACAGGGCCCCCAAATTGTCAGCCACGCCTCTGCATTTAGATCAACATGTTCCACACTCTATGTCCGCATATAAAATTATATGCTTATATATTTCTCTTCTTGTTTCTCTTTTACAGGCTTCCATGAAAATGGACAATGGAAAGACTGCATTGGTTCCACTTTTTCGAAGTCAAGAGAACATAGCTGCGGAGGTACTAAGCATTTATTTGAGAATAAAGATGTTAGTTGGCTAATCAAAATGGATAGAATGAGTTTAATGTTTTGTTACTTGTGCACGGATGTTTGCAAATTACCTATCAGAATGAAAGGCGATGCAAGACGATGCAGGGATCAACAAGATTATGGTATTAGCCTGCGGTTTCAACGGGTGTCATGCCTCTGGTAGACCTGTTTGTCGATGCACTAACATCCCTTGTAAATAATTTATGTAAAAGTTTGTAAACAATTTATGTATCTCTCTACTATTTTGGTGAATGTATTATTTGAATATAATAGGATTTGATATTGGAATATAATTAGATTGTGTTGGATATGAATATATTTTTTTGTTGTTTAATATTGTGTACATGCACTCAAAGTAGATTCTGCCAAAAAAAACTACTGTAGCAGCATCCTAGACGGAAATTCTGTCTAGGATGCTCAAATTCCGTCCATGATACCTTTTAAAAATAAAAAAAAATAAAAAACATCAATTTCCGTCTAGAATGACTATTCTAGACGGAAATTTCCGTCTAGGATACTCATCCTAGATGGAAAATTTTTCCGTCTAGGATACAGTATTCTAGACGGAAATTCCGTCTGGAATAATCCGTCTAGGATGTATTCTAAACGGTTTTGAATTCCGTCTAGAATATTCCGTCTATGATGTATTCTAGACGGAATTTCCGTCTAGAATACTATATCCTAGACGGAAACTTCCTAGACGAGTATTCTAGATGGAATTCCGTCTAGGATACTCATCCTAGACGGAATTCTGTGTATCCTAGACGGAATTTTCTGTCTAGGATGCCTAATTTTTTACTAGTGACAATTTTATGCACAAAAAAATCCTAGAGACTACATCCTGCTTTTCTCTTCAGACTAGTCACTGACTTGAGCGTCGGAGGGCATACTGAAAGAGATAACCTTCATGACCTCTAACCTGTTAGACCCTAGAGGGGGTGATTAGGGTCTTATGCTAATCTAATCCGATTTAAATACCAATTAAAACTTATTAATAAATTATTCTTGCAAGATAGATATATATGCTAATCTAATCCGATTTAAATACCAATTAAAACTTATTAATAAATTATTCTTGCAAGATAGATATATAATATGTTATGAGCAAGAATATATTAATAAATTATTCTTGCAAGATAGATATATAATATGTTATGAGCAAGAATATGTAATATGAACAAAGGAATATATCCTAGCAATGAGATATATGATGAAATACATGCAAGGATATATAAATGGCATAAGAGTAAACAATCTAAACTAGATAGTGAGCAATATAAATAATACAAACACACAATATGATCACATAGTTTGGGCCTTCCGTCCTACGTCTCCGCTCCCCACTCCCGGGGAGAAATCCACTATCACAATCGGGTTTTCTACGCTTACCCGAACAATGTTTACACCTCACACGCGGTTTTCTAGTTTATCGAAAACTCTACAATCAACACTCTTGCAATCCTACTCTACACCCTCTCAAGTGTTGGAACTAGACGTGTCTCCCTCAAGTGCTCGGATACAATCTCTCCCTAGGTTCGTCAACCGATGCCACTCCTCTTGGGACGATCCCCAACTCTCGCCACACACTTCTCTCGATGTACAAGTGTATTACAAAGTGATTCTCACAATAAACACAATTACAATAAATGATTGTTCTCTAATATGAATGAGAACATAATAAAAGCTCACACTTAATTATTATAACTCTCACCAGCCCAAATATACAATGTATGCAAGTACAATAAGCTCAAGTGGGTGTGTGTAAACAATGAGTGAAATCAAATCAACTAAACTCAATTGTAAATACTAGCTTAATGATAAATAACAAAGAATTAATACAAAACTAGATTGAGTTTAGAAATTCTTCTCTGAAAAACAAGATGGAGAGATGGATTAAAATGAAGCCCAAGGAATATATTGAGTTTAGAAATTCTTCTCTGAAAAACAAGATGGAGAGATGGATTAAAATGAAGCCCAAGGAATATAGATGATCTCCTCCACTTGTGTAAAAAACAAGATGGAGAGATGGATTAAAATGAAGCCCAAGGAATATAGATGATCTCCTCCACTTGTGTAAAAAACTTCTTCACAAATAAAACTCTTTTAAACAAACACTAAACAAATTTAAACCCCTATTAAACTCTTGCTTTAAAAACTTCTTGGATACCTTTGGTAGTTGGGGTTTGAAGGGTTTATATAGGAAGAGAAACCAACAGTAAAACCCCCAACCAAATCCCCCAAAAACCCAAAAAAAATATTTTTTAGATTCTGTATAAAAAGAACCGTTGGGCATATAGCGGTCGACCGCGAGGGATGTTAGAGACTGAGAAACTTTTCAGAAACATCTGCGATCGACTGTGGCAGTCGACCGTGGGAATTTTTAGCTTGACGGTCGACTGCGAAAGTATCTGCTGGCTCCACATGGAAAAATCAAGGGCGCGGTCGACCGTGACGGTCAACCACAAACAGATATATGAAAATGACAGTTTTGTAAGCAGTTTTTCTGATTTAAAATCATGTTTAAAAATATCAAATAAATTCCAAAAAATATAAAACTTTGAAAAATGATTATAGACATGATAATACACATGCTACAAAAACTGGTTTTCAAAAAGGACCTTCCAAATGTAAAATATCATTATTTTGCAAAATAGTCCAAAACATAAAAATGTATGAGTTTTGACATTTAGCTTAACCTTGTTTTGAAACATTATAAAATAATTTTGTAGACTTAAAGAAAGATATAAACTATTGTTATGAAGTCTATAAATAATGAATACAATATTTTTACAAATACAATAGAATATGAAACATATGAGTATGTATATGGATATATTTTTGTTTCATATCTATGAAATTAAACCAAACCAACTTATCCGCATAAAAACAAACATGTATGAATATAAATGTTTATTTATATGCTTGTAAAAACTTTGTTTGTGGATAAACACCAATAAAATGTGTGTGTATATGATATTAAGCTTAAAGTACTTAACACACATAATATAACACCTAAACTAAATTACCCAAGCTATGATCTTGATCTTCAATAAGCTTTTCTTGATAATCTTGTGGATAAAGCTTGAACTTGGATCTTCAACTTGAAATGCAAGACTTCACTCTATAATTCCGCCAACCTCCATTGGATATGATCGTTGAAGCGCAATCCATCCAACCTCTAACTCGTTGTTTGCCTAGAATAAATACAAAAACACAAACACTAGACAAACAACTCGTTGTTTGCCTAGAATAAATACAAAAACACAAACACTAGACAAACAACATTAGGAGTAAATTATTTGTTAAACATCATCAAAACAAGAAGACAAAAACACAAACACTAGACAAACAACATTAGGAGTAAATTATTTGTTAAACATCATCAAAACAAGAAAGCCAACATAACCTCTATTATTCTGTACAGGGAGTTACCATTCAACATACCCTTCGAAATAATCAGCCATCAAGGGAGATTAAGGGACCCCAAGATCATATGTACCTGTCCTAAACCACACACTAATTTCCCCACATCAAAATTGTTTATTTTTTAGTAATCCATAAGTCATTGGTACAAGCCATTTTATGCTCATAACAAAAAATATATAGTATATATAAAAACATGAAAGGGAAGAAGTAGTTCAAAAAAAGTCTGTTCGGTTTAATTTAGAACCATGTGTATATGATATATTAAAGAAGAAACTTCTAGAGACCAAATATCAGATATAAAAAATCAGAGTTCTACACTTCCAAGCTAAATGATATGGGTTCAGTTTCCATTATCCGGTCCATATTACTTATTTTATATGTAAGACTCACACATGCAAGCATGGGCAAAATACTTATAAATAAGATAAAGCGTGACAATTCTATTGGATGATGTGGCCTATTTTATAAGAAACCCTTTTTTTTTGAAAAAATGGGTGGAAATAATTTCTTGAAGACTTTCCTCCTCTAAATAAATTTGCTTAGGGGCGGTTTAGTTAATTTCTCAAAAATCAAGAAAATAAAATGGAGAAAATAAAATATCACTAGAAAGAAATATCAGATACACTCTCTTTTCTTAAGCCCGTTTTTCTTGTTGTTTGTCACGAATAGGGTTTCCATTTCTCTGGCTCACAATAAATTATTCACATCTCTACATGTGAGTCCTTTGTTTGTTGAGAAAATTTGAAGAAGACAATTGAAAATTAAATTTGTATTATTATCTTTGACAAGCTCAGAAAAAGAATTAATGACAATTCTATCGATACAACTTCTTTCTAACAGACTTAGAAAAAAAATTATAATCGTCTTGTATCAGATTTTTGATTTCTAAAAGAGAGAAGGTATCGACGGAGATCCTTCCCTTTGTTTAACTTGGGTTTTTCTTGGTGTCGATGGAATGTCTCTCTCGATGTTCGTATCAAGTTTGCTCTCCGGTGACGATCCGAACGCTTAAACTCCTAGAATACGGTTGAATCCTCTTGACTTGAGGTTGATGAGAACTTGCGTGGCAAGTTTAAGAATAACTCTTAACGAGTTTTAGAACTCAAGGCGAGTTTAAAACTCTATGAAAGAGTTAATTAAGATCTAACTAAAATTGATTTTCAAGCCAAGAAAGAAAGCTCCAAAAATCTCTATTGCTGAGGAATGATCTTAGATATCCAAGGGTGAATGTTGATCTCTCCCATATCCAAAAGTGCTCCCAGATCCAAAAAGTCTCCCTTTTTTCTAGCTGTCGAAAAGAGGATCAATTGGAGATCCTTAACTCAGTTGAGTTTTTCATCATTTATAGGAGATTAAGGGGGTGTAACTATGCCCTTAATTTGCTCCTAAGTGGGGGAGTGATCCCCTCAAATCGTGAATTTTTTTTGAAACCGTTCAGCTCGTGTTTGAACGAGTCCAACGCAAGATATGCATTCTGGGCACGAATTCTGCGTTCTGGACCTAGGATGCAGAGTTAGGCTTTGCATTTGAGCCTGGAAACACAACCACGAACTTTGCGTTTTGTTGTTGGGACGCAGACATGAACTCTACATTTTGAGTCTGGAACACAGCCATGAACTTTGTGTTTTGAGTCTGGAACGCAACCACGAACTCTTTGTTTTGAGTCTGGAACGCAGCCATAAATTTTGCGTTTTGTTGTTGGGACGTAGAGATGAACTCTGTGTTTTGACTCTGGAACGCAGAGGTGAGTCTCA